ACGCGGCCCAGCCCCGGCGGTGGTGCTGCCAGCAGGCCCAGCGGCATGATGGAGGCGGCCGCCAGCAGGTCCACGATACACAGGTGCACCAGGTAGAGCGCGTCGCGCAGTCCCGGCGTGCGCAGCACCACGACCAAAAGTGCGCTGTTGCCCAGAATTGCTGCCGCCTCCACGACAGCCGCCAGGATCAACCCTATTGAGGCTGCGACTTCTGGGGCGTTCAGCGCTGTGGTGTTGGCCATTCGAGGGCTCAGGCTTCACCCTGTGCTGGGATGCAGAGAGCTAAGTGGAGCTTCCCTCTTCCCCGCCATTCCCTTCACCCGTCCCTTGCTCCTCTGGCCTCTCACCTCACAGGCTGCCCAGGCGCTGGCTCGGTCGCCCAGGCTGCCATCCTCTTGGGGGCTTGGCCGTCCCCATGGAAGGGTGCAAGGCTGGGACTGCGGCTCTCTTCTCCGCCCCAGCAACTCAGCCCCTGCTGGAGATGGTACTGGCTGTCACTCTGATGTTGCCCTTTGGAGACACACAGAGCTGGCAAGGGAGGGGCAGGGCCTGGCACCGGCCCCCTGGGTCCTAGCAGCTGCCAGCTGGAGGCTGTGCTGTGGAAGTGCTGGAGGTGCCTCTGAAGGGGGGCCCAGGGCAGGCACAGGCTGGAGTCTAGACTGAGGATGTTAGCATGTGGGCTTTGGAGTTGGCCAGACCCTCTTCTGTCTTTCCCAGGGATGGGAAGTGCCCCGCTCCCCCCATCTGCTCTCTTCTGCCGTCCCGGACAGTGGGAGTAATCAGATCGTTCGGCCTTTGTACTGAAGGGAAACTGAGGTACCAGTGACACAAGAGCTGGAGCAGGGAGACCTCTAGGTACCCTCTGGTTCGCAGGAGGGCTGGTTCTCTCAGAAAGAGGAGGCAAGGTAAAGTGAGGGGAAAAAATCACAGGGCTTGGCACATAGTAGCTGCTCAGGTGGTATTTGCTTGGCACAGAATAGATGCTTCATGACAGTGTGTGGAATTAATGACAGGAGACCTTAGGGGGAAACTGCTGGGTTTTTTTTGTTTGTTTGTTTTGTTTTGTTTTGTTTTTGCTGTAGCAAACAAGTCCCCTTCTGCTAAGAACACCCTGAATTTTCTTTAGGAAGCCACCACTCCCCAACTCTCAGGATATATGGTTTGGTGAGCAAGATCCCCACCTTCCAGATTCCTGATTAGACACAAAACCCAGTCCTGGCCAGTCAGTATATGGCACTCCCCAACCCACAGTATTAGCTCAGGGAAAGCCAGGTGACTCCAGTGGGACATATGCCACCCAGGTGTAGTCACCCAGTCCCATGGCAGAACCCCATCTATATACCCTGATGGCTTGCATTGGTGTCCGAAGCTCCTTCCTCTCCCCTGAACCCCAGACTTGGGTATCCAGTTGCCTCTTCATCTCCCCCAGTACTTTGACCACTGGGCATCTCAAACGTCCTGTGTCCAAAATAGAACCATGACTCTTGACCCCTCCCGTCTGCTCCTCCCAGTCTTCCCTATCTTAGTAAATGCCATTTTGGAATTTTCCACTGATGCCTCCCGTCGCCCTCCATGCCTCACTTCTAATCCATCAGCCTGTCTGAATCCGACCATTTCTCACCACCGCTACCATGTTCCCAGCCTTCATCACCCCTCACTGGGACCATTTCAGCATCCTGCTAACTGGTCTCCTGGCCTCCGCTCCTGCACTTTGTGCTGGTCATTGGCCTGTTTGCCCTGAGACCCATTCTCCGGTCTTCCCTGAGCCTGCTCTGCTTTCCAGGAAACTGTGTCCCCAGGTTCCTCTGCCAGTTGGTTTTGGGGTAGATTCAGCCAATGGAAGTTACCAGCAGAAGACTGGAGTGTGGCAGGAGGGAAGAAGCTAGGGTATTTTCCCTCTCATGCTCAGCCTGGGACTCTGGAACTCCCTCTGTGGAAGACAGCCTCTCTCTCCATCGCTCTGGCTCCCTTCAGGCAGCCCCCTCTGTGGGTCTGGTGCCTGTAGGGTGACCCTGGTCTCTGGGTATTACAATACTATTTCCTTCCCTTAGCCTTCCAGCCTAGGGGAGGTAGCAACTTCCTGCTGTTGCTGATCCTGGGATCACCTCACTATTCCCTTTGGTAGTTCAGTTCCTTCCTTGTATCAAGTTCCCCTTGTTTGGAATACCTAGAGTGGTTTCTGTTTTGCTGATTGGCTCTTGAGTGACACCAGACAGCCCACTTTCTACACAGCGGCTGAAGAGGATCCACTTAAAGATAAATCAAATCAGGTCATGACCCTGCGCTCATCCCTCCAACAGCCTCCCATCATAGAATAGAATCTCACCTGCTCTGTGCTGAGGTGGCCCTCTCCCCACCTCTCTGACCTCACCCACTTCCTCCTTGCCTACCATACTTCCAGCCATACAATCATCTTGCTGGTCCTCCCACATGTCAAACTTGTTTCCATGATTTCAAAGACCTCAGGGTCTTTGCATGTGCTGTTTACCCTGCAAAAGAACATCCTTCCCTGAGCCCTCCCCATGGCCTGCTCCCTCACCTAATTCAGGTCTCCGCCTGACAGAGGCTTCAGTGACCATCTTTGCTAAACTCATTACACCTTCTCAACACTAATCCTTTTATCCCACATTATTCTTCTTCCTGACACTTTTCCTACCTGCTATTATAGTTCATGACTATGCACGTACTGGTTTAGAGCCTGTTTTGCTAGAATGTAAGCCTCTTGAGAGCAGGGACCTTGTCTGTGTCTTGTTCGTGTACTCCTAGAACCCATCCCAGGCACATTAGTTAGCAGCAGTACAGATGTAGGTGGTAAGAGACAGGGCACAGACCTCCAGGTTTGATTCATCTGTTGCTGGAATTTGCAGGACCCCAGTCTGATTCTGTATTATTCAGATGAGAAAAGTGGTGCTCAAAGAGGGAAAGAATGTTCTAGATCACACCTTGACCCCAGAGCACCAGTTTCCTAGGCTCTGTCCACATAGGTACCACTTCCTGGACTTGGCCACAGCTTGAATTTAAGCATTTGCCTCCAGGAGGTGAAGCTGGATTTTTTGAGGTCTTGGTTGAGAGGAAGAAGAAGGTGTTGGCTTTCTCCCTGCTCAGTTAGGCCTGCAGGTCCAGGGCAACCCCCAAGCCACCAGGGCCCGAGGAGGGCTCAGCAGGGCCAGGTGGGAAGAGCTGAGAAATGAGAAAACTAGACTGGGCAAGGCAATAGGGAGGGATGGGGACCAAGGTGGGTTGGAGAGTGCTCCCTCCAAAATCCTTCCACTTAATGAACAATGAAAACACTTCAAGTTTATGGTTTTTATTTTTTTAATTTACAAAAAGAAATGCAGGAAGGATAAACTTCACCCACCCCCTCTACAGCAGGTTGGCTGGCATGGAGTAAGATGACTAGAAGGACACTCTGCTTGGACTTTTGTACAACTTGGACTTTTGGGAACCATGTTAATGTTCTACGTATTGAAAAACATAAATTAACAAAGATGAGGAAAACCCAAGAATGAACAGAAACAGAAACAAATGAACCGACCAGCATTTCAAATGAATAACATAACTATGCTGAAGGGAAACAGATAACTAATCCAAGTAACATTGGAACCTGGGCTCAAACTGTTACTTTGACCATTGACCCTCCATCTAAAGACAAGAAGATGATTTTGAATAAGATTCAATAAATCTTGAACTCTACTTAGAAACTTTGTTTTTCACAATGGCTTGGATGTAGCAATTCTAGAACTTCTTTTTCTGTGAAATTGAACAAATAAGTAAATGTACTGATGTTGACGGGAACCAAGGCTCTGACTGTTAGAGAAAGGGGTATAAACATGGATTTGGGGAAGAATGGAAGGACCCTGTGGTGCTGAATTGGAGTTAGAGAAATAGATACAAATAGATGTGTTTGTTAATTTTCATAGACCTATTTCCTAGCTCTCTTTGCTACAAGGACTTAAAAGCAGTGACACCCAATATCAAAGAACAAACCTGCTACTCAGATCTTGGATTCTAAATACCATTTCTGGCTCCAGAGAACCAGGGCTCCTTGGAGAAACGGCAGATTCCAGGTTTGTGCAAGATGAGCCTGGAACATCTTGTGATGCCAGAAGCTAAGGAAGTGCTCACAAAACGATGTAGCCACAGGAGTCATCGTGAAGGACCTTCTGCTGGCCAAAGCTAGGAAATTTAAGGATCAAAATAATAACAGTAACAGATTATAACCCATTGCATAGAAATAACAACCCATAAATTCATACTGATAAGAAAGAATGAAAGGGGACTATTAATTATTAAATATAGAAGAAATGATGGAATTAGATAATTCATTTGCAACCATCTAAGCAAAAGTTGATTCAAGCCATTGATTTCAGGTAAAAATCATCATTGGATGTGAAAGCTAGCTGGTGAAGGTTGATGAGGAATGGGACATTCACACCTCAAAATATTTCCCCACCGATTGCTGATTAATTACAAATGGGAGAAGTGGTAACTTCCCAGTGGAGAAACCTGGTGGACACCACCTTAAGTGATCAAAGTTAACATCACTAACAATAGGACGTGTCCCTCCTGATATAGTGCACCGAGACACATTGTTCACCTAATGTTCCTGCCCAAACTGCAATGCCTGCATCTAATCACTGCAAAACATCAGACAAGCCCAAATTGAGAGACAGTCCATCAAACAACTGGCCTGTACTCCTCAGGAGTGTCGAAGGTGTCAAAGTTATGGGGAAAAAAAAAGCTGAGGAATGGTTTCAGATGAAAGGAGGCCACAGAGACATGACAACAAAATGCAGTGTGTGACTCTGCACCAGATCCTGACCTGTTGTCTAGTGCCTACACCCCTCGTCTGTGGACAGGGTTACCAGGGGTGATAACTAGCATGCCTTTGTGACACCAGAGCTGTGCTCCTTGGACATATTCTCAGCTTGTCTATAATATTCAGATATAAGACACACATGGGTGTTTGGTGCCCAGACATGAGGCCTGCTTGATGTGCGTGGCCACGTTTGGGCTAAAGGACAGAATCACCAGGTGGGTCCCATGTGACTAACAGTTCTGAGTTGATGGCAGGGGTCCCCTCTGAAGGCTCAGTGATCAGAGGAGGCCGGCTGTTGCAGTGACTGATGTAGATTGACCAGGTGGGCGGGAGTGTATGACCCACATCAACCCTTGTGAGCCGTCGCTCCCTAGAGTGGGGCTGGAACTGCTTTGTGGTTGGTGGGTCGCCGTGGAGAGCGAGGAGGCCCGGGCCTGGTGCAGCTGTGGCACTGACAAGCAGAGGCCAAGGGTGAGTGAATACAACATTTAATAAACACGCCCCTGCGTGCCTGAAGTTCGGCCCACCTTGGTGATCACACCTCTCGGATGGACGGTCTGGGCTAAGTGGACGGCCCGAATGGATGAGGAACCCACCCACTCTCAGCCTGTGCCCCTCAAACTGCTGTATCTGGGTCCCAGTAATAATGCCAGTTCATCAGGCTCATCACCTGAGAAGGTGAGACCCTGAGGCTACAGCCACGTCAGGACTAACAAGGAATGGAGGGAGAGGTGATCACTGTCTGGAACCCAGGAGGGAGATTTGAGAGTAGGAAGAAGGAGTGATATGGGGACACCAGGGATGGGCAGGAAGATTGAGGAGGATGAGTGAGCTCCTAGCAGTGCCCTGGCTGGGCAGTAGGGGTGCGGGCAGACAGCTCAGAGGCGAACTTCCTGCAGGTAGCGCAGGCAGCACCGGCTCTCCTGGTAGATGAGATACTCGCTCTGGGAGAAACTGGAGCTTCTGAATTCTGGGCAGGGCACCGGTTGGCCTTGGGGCACTGCCACTTGCTGCCCATCCAGCTCCAGCTTGGTGTCCTGGGTTGTGTTTGCAGGGCACAGCAAGGGCCATGGGTGACCCAAGGGTCACTGGTCCTCGGCTTTACCAGTAGGTCCTGGCCCACTATGCTCTCCACTTCTGCCACAGGGAGGGCCTGCTCATTCCCACCTTGCCAACCTCCAAACCACTTTCCCTGGAACCTCCTCCCCCATTTCTCTGCCTACTCATCTTTCAGTGCTCAGTTGATGACACCTCTTCTCTGAAGCCCTCTTGGATGCCCAGGAATGATTAGCTAAATTATGAATGTTTGTTGAATGACAAAGTGAGTGAGTACACTGAGGGAGCCAGCTACTTTTTGTCCCTCTTCACATCCCCCTCTCTGCTCACTTCCTCCCTGTAAGAGTCCTGCTCCATCTCAGCCCCACCTTTACCCTTAGGCCTGTTCAGCAGCTTCTTGGGACTCACCAGGCTCTGTGTGGCTTCAGGTGATGACACTGTTGAAGCCAGTGGGTGGCTGTTTCAAGCTGGGCTTGTCGTTGGTGAAGTGGTACTCTGTGCCCAGTGCCACCTCACCCAGGAACATGTAGTCAATGTGATGGGCCCCGCAGGACATGCCAGTAACTGGGGGATGCAGGGAGGCTCAGGGTAGGCAATGGACCCTCCTGCCTGACTCCTGGGGTCCCTCTCAGCTGCACTGTCAGCTCCTCTGGCTTTGCTGCCCCAGCAGAAAAGTGTTTGTTCATTTTCCATCCTTCCTCCAACCATTTCTCCAGGCCCCTTGTCTTGGCCGTGCTCCCTCCCTCCTCCCTCCTCCACTCCTTGGCTCCCTGAGGCCAGGCCTCTGCTGCCCTCACCAAGGTCAGTGGTGGCCTCCCCGTGACTGTATCTGGGGCGGGGGCTTTTCTCTCTGGCCTGCTCTGCTGATTTTCCCACTGGCATCCTTCACCCTCAATCCTGGGACCTCCCTGCAATGGCTTTCCTGAGGCCACCCTCCACTCCTTCTTTGGGTCCTCTGCCCTCCTAGCGGACCCCTGGGCCTCGAGCAACCTTCAGCCCCATCTGCTCTTGGATGAATTCTCCAACCTTGCTCTCTTGGCTGGGTGGGTGTTGGTGGTCTCCATTAATGGGGTCAGCATGGGCTGAGGAGCCAGTGGGGGGAGATCACCTCATTGAGGACACTGCTGGACAGAAACTTAAGGGTCATTATCGACACCTACAACCCTTTCCCACATGCTGCCCATCCCACATCCCACACACACCTCTCCCTCTCACACAGCCTCCCTGCAGCCTCTGAGATCCTGCTATATACATGTTCAGCTGTGCTCCCCATTGCTCTCTGAATAAGGGATCCTCCTGGGCCCCCAGGCCCCCCACCCACACCAGGCATTTGCTCTAAGCTTTACTATTAGGCCGCTGACCTGCTGCGGCCTCACAGCCTTGGTGCCACCCACTGGCTGCTTTACTTAGAAGGCTCCTCTTTCCCCCACTCCCAGGTCAGGGTGGTCCACTCATCCTGTCTGCATCACCTTCTCCAGGAAGCTGCCCCTGACCACCCGAGGTTTCCTCTGAGTGCTCCCAACCCCCAGGATGCCCCACTGAGCACTCAAGTTAGTAACTGTGCCAGGGTTCCTCTCCAGGACCCACCACAAGCTGGTTAATCCCTGGGCCCCAAACTCCTTGGTGTCCCCTCACCCACTCAGGGCTTGGCCCCAAGAGATGCCTCACCACAGCTAGCTGACTTGCTGTTCTCTGGGGCGAAGTAGATGCCCTTGCCAACATGGCCACCAGAATGTGGCATGATGCGGAGCCCACTGGTGAGGATGGCGGCCACCGCAGCCATGTTGGTGCCATGCCACGGTAGCTTGCAATTACCCAGCTTGGAGTGGGCCTGGAACTGATTGCCCTGTGGTGGGGAGGGGGTGGGAACAGGCAGAGTCACACCATCCAAGGTCAGGTGTCTCTGCCATCAGAGGGTATGACCAAGGCCAAGGGCCCCCTTGCACACATGAACACACGCATAAGACCTAGGCCTGGTAGAAACTGATCAGAGTTGCTCAGCCAACTCGCTAATGGGCAGATAAGCCATGGTCATCTCCTTAAGAGACAAGGTAGTGATGGGGGTGGGAACTCTCCCTTACCGCCCCTTCTCGGTTCACTTTCCAAACGTGCTGGAGAGCAGGACACCTGTAGTTGTTGCCAGTCTGTTCTAAATAGGTATGCATCACCTGTGGGGAGAGCAGAAGCTGGGTGCCAAGAGCGAGAGACGTGTGGACCAACCCTACTCGTCCCAGAGCGATCCTCAGGCCCTGGAGACACAGGGAGAGAAGGCACAGGGTGAGGGACTCCTCCTGGCCCCTTGAGGGCAGATGGGCTGAGGGACAGTGCCCACTGAGAGCCCCGTTCCTCTGTGGGGCATCTGGTACTCCGTTGCCTCTGGGTCCAGCAGCTGGAGCTGGCATTTGAGGAGCTGATAATATTGGTCCAGTGGGTGTGGCACCTCCTCCACCTGCTTTGTCTCCTCTGGGGCTGCCTGCAGAGTCTTGGCCAGCACCTAAGGTGATGGGCATTGGCAGCCTGTCTGTCCACTTAACCCTGGACCCCTCCTCCCTCCCACATGACCAGGACCATGGTCTCCCCACCTGTCTTTCCACTGTTCACCCCTGCCCCTGTCCTTCTGGCCTTCTCCTCCCCTGTCCTTCAGGGCCTGCCCATCGCAGTCCATCTATCTCTCCCCCTTCTCCCTTGCCCAGTCCGCCTTTTCAGTACCCTTACTGCCTGCCCACCTGCCAACCCTCACCAGCAGCATGTCCTTGGCCTGCAGAAGCTCCGGGGAGTTGATGGGCGGGGGCCGGTTGTGGCTGAAGTTGTGGGGAATGACAGTGTAGAAGTGGGAGGACAGCTCCTCCAGGCTGCAGCCACCATCTGTGGGGGCTTTCAGAGCCACCTCCAGTGCCTCCAGGGCCTCAAAGCCTCAGGCAATCTGCTGCTTGCTCAACTTCCCCAGGGGCATCTTCACATCTAGGGGAGTGGAGAGAGTGGGGGACTCAGCCCTGCAGCCCTGCCACCCCCCGGGCCCCTGCTACCCTGCCTGGCCCCTCTCCCCTCATCCAGGTTCATGAGGGCCATGGCATTCTTGAACATGTCCTTGCTGAAGATGTTGGTGATGAGCTTCTGTGTGGCTGGGTCCAGGGAGCAGGGCCGCATCCGTTAAACCACAGTCCTCATGGAGCCTCCGTCTACCTAGGGGCAGAGGGCACATGTGGGCAGGGGCAGCCACACCGGGAGCAAGGCCTGGCATTAGACAGAGACTGGCCAGACCGAGGCTGACAGGGGAGGCCTGTGCCTGAGGTTGCAGAGCCGAGCAGTGGCGGAGCCCAACCAGCCAGGTCGCTCTGTGCAGTCCCCTCCCTCCGCCCAGGCCCAGCCACCCTCCCTGGCCACTTCACCTTCACCATGGCTTCCTGGGCCTCATCTTCTCTCTGTACTTCGATAAGTGTGTACTTGCTGGGGTGGGCCACAAAGTGGTCCCGCTCTGCCCAAATGTTCTCGGTCTTCTTCTGAAATTTCTTTTCAAAGTCTTTCTTTTGTCCTCCAGTGACACGAAGGGGCTGAGCTTTGACTGGCCCACCTCTCCCTGCAACCAATGACTTTCAGGGGTGTGCCTACCACAGTGCCCACCGTAAATGTTGGCCTCTATTGTGCAGGCCCTGTGATGAGGGCCCCTGGATGTCAGAGGCGGGGAGGGGCCACAGTCAGCAGCTGTGGCCTTTTGGCCTGAGTAAGCTGTGGGGAACTGGGGAGCAGGGAGCATGCGTTGAGCAGGGAGACGTGGGGAGGATGCAGTCACAGGGTGGGTGGGTGGCACTCACCACACGGCCCCAGCGGTTCCAGCAGACGAAGTGGTCGCCCTCCTCCAGCAGCTGGATGATGTAGAACTTGTTGTTGCTCGCGATGTTGGTCTGGTTCAGGGTGCAGTCGTAGTCTGTGCACCTGTGGCCAGAGGGGGGATGGGGAGGGCAGGCTGGCTTGGGCGGCCCATGGGGTCAGACTGTGCTGGGGCGTCAGAGAAGGCCCTGTCCGGGAACGCTGCCTTAGGTGTGGTGGGGGGAGGCCTGAGAAGTGAGGGGGACTGGCCCTGGAGTCTGAAGAGCAGAAATGACCTGCCTGGATCTGGTGGGATATAGCCCAGCCTGACCTCTGAGGTCTTGGGAGAACAGAGCTAACTTGGGAACCTTGAGCTAGTGGTCAGAGCCAAGTGGGAGGGGAGCAGGTCTGAGTGTATTTGTACTCAGAAGGGAGCAGGCACCGGGACTGGCCAGAAGCTACAGCTTACCTGGGTCCCGGGGTTGCTGCTGAGCGGGCACAGGGGGTCCACTCAGACTACATGCTTCTCTGTGGGTGCGGCCCTCAGGGCCTTGGCAGTGGAGTGGAAATTGTCCTCCTCTTCTGTACCTGGCTGCCTCTTCTTCTCAAGGCCCTCATGCTGCACTTGGGGCTTGCACTTTGGAAAATGGCTATTCTGGGGCACAGAGGGGGCCTTCGGGCCTCCCTGGCCTTTGCACCCCATGTGGCTGGCATAGCACCAACTTGTCCCACACTGGGTTTGCCCTTTGGTGACCTCCCACCTCCCCCTGCCTGCGTTTCCCCCCTCCCAGCCTCTGACCAAACCCAGCTCTCTGCAACTCAGATATGCCCTTTTCTCCAGTCACAGGACCCCTGTCTGGTCTGCCCACTCTGGTCAAGGAGGGGGGGCTCTGCACCCTCTCTAGCTCTCCTGTGTATCCTAAGGTAGAAGGGAAAGTGAAAGGAAAATCTCCCTCCCTCCCACTTCTGGGCTCCCCTGACCCCCCTCAGCTAACTTGGACCTGGCATGGCTGCTGGGCTGAGTGGAGAGTGGGCAGTGGCTCTGAGGCCCAGCGCTCCTGAGGCCAGATCTGTCCCTCTGGAGCCTGGGACCCAGTGGTGCAGAAACTTTTCCCAGCAGGCTCAAGAGTTTTGGGTGCCAGCCAGGGTCCCAGCCCATAACTGCCGGAGGGCGAGGGCCAGTCGCATCCGCCCTGCCCTGCCCTGTCCAGCCCTGCAGCCGGCTATGGGCAGGGCCACAGGGCAACTCACCTAAGAGAAGCAGGGACCTGGGAGAGGTGGCAGCCACCGGGTCAGTACCTCCCAGGCGGTCCCGGTTCTGACAACCCTCTGTAAGCCTCAGTGGGGCGGAGGAAGAACTGGGGATGGGTAGGATTCCAGCTATTTGGCCACCAGTCTGGTGAGTCAGAGGCTGGGCAGGCCGAGGCGGCAGCCTGTCCCACGGATGGATGGACGGACACTTGACCCAGACACGGCCAAGGCCCTGGGATTGACGCGCCCTTAGCGCTGCTCATCTGGCCTGAGGCATGCCATACGTGTCCACCGGTTGCTGAGTGACTTTGGGCCCAGGTGCGGGCATTACCTCCCTCTCCTCGGGGCTGCCTGGAGCCCCCTCCCCCGGTTTTCTAGTGCCAGACTGGTTCACCCTTGCCCCCGCCCCTGACCGGGAGGAGTCACGTTCCGGGACTCCGTGTCTTTGGCGCCCCCCAGCGTCCAAGGGGCGCAAACACAAAGAATGCGTCAGGGTCCGACCCCTCCCTCTTTAGACGTCAGCCAGCGGCAGGGCGCACGCGCCAAAGCTTTGGGCCGGAAGCGCCAGGGAGAGATTTGCTTCCTCCTGGAGCCTGGAGCGGGAGCCTATAGGAGGTCTGGGAGGCGAGGCCATAGGCGTTTATCCTATGGGCGTTTAGGGGCGTGACAGAACCTACGGAAGGACCCGGAGGAGCTGAGGGAGGCGGGGCCCGCCAAGAGGTGGGAGCCTATCCGGGCTTGGAGTCTTGCGGGACCGCCTGGGTTTAGCCGCCACGTGAGTTCTCCGGTGGCCGCGGCAACACACACGGTGGGCAGCATGTCGGCGACAGCGGCAGCTCGAAAGCGGGGAAAGCCAGCCTCCGGAGCCGGGGCCGGCAAGCGGCGGCGAAAGGTGAGCATGGCGTTTCCGCGGGAGGGGATCCGTCCCGCTACTGGGACCACGGTCTACCCATCCCGGGGACCAGTGCCCCGGTCCCCTCCCTCCGGGATCCCAGCTGGAGTCAGCTTCTTTTCTCTCTCAGCGGGCCAAATCCTGAAAGGCCTTGCACTTGAACCGAGGGCCAACGCCTTTGTCTGTGGCTCTCGAGGGACCGAAAGGGTACTTGGTCAGTGCTGGGGTGGTCGAAACCAGTGACCAAATAAAGTATTTTATAATTCCTAGGACGATTCTGCCGGGGACAAGAGCAAGTCCAAGGGTGGCAGCAAGATGAATGAAGAGATCTCTAGCGACTCGGAAACTGAGAGGTAAGCTCTTTTTTACACTTAGTGGAAGGAACACGGAGGCCCACGGTGTATGGGAGGAGTACTCAGTGAGTGGATACAGAGTTGGGCCTGGAACCCAGGACTCTGGCCATTGGTTCTCAGATCTTGGCTCTTTCCTCCAGTTTCTGACCCTGAGAAGTCTCATCTTTCCTGCAGGGTCTCTGGGGAGGACCCCCGAGTTTCAATGGGAGACCAGTGAGACCTTCCTGGCTCAAGACAGGGAACTGAACTTCAGACAAGGAGAGAGGGATGCAAGAAATGCTTGCTAGTTCTTCATTCTGTTTTCCCACCATTTCACAAGTACTGAGAGTCTTGCCCCAACTCTCAGCATATGCCAGCCACTGGCTTCACTGCTGAGAGACTGGAGATGAGCAGGTGAAGGCAGAATGTATTGTGATACGGTGTGTATCTTATTGCTGTGTGTTTGGGGAGTTTAAATCCAGTCTGGAGAGATGAGGAAGGGTCCCTCATGGAGAGGTAGGGAAGGCAGTCAGGGATCAGAGGAAAGTCTGGGGGTTAAGTGGGCAAATGGAAGATGGAGAGGGTGGAAGGTGCATTTGGACTGTGGAGGCCTTTGAGTACCTCCTTCATTCTGCAGGTGACTGAGGTGGACCATGTTGCAGAGTCTCAAAGGGGGCTAGCAAGGTGTCAGGCCTGACTCTGGAATGGAAACTGTTATACCAGGGAATCCTGGTGCCTTTCTTAAGAGCTGGCTTTAGAAATTCTGCTTCTAAAATTGCATACATGTTGGCCTTAACCTGCTCACAGAAGGACCTAATATGGTTTTTGTAGTCCTAAGGTTACTGGGGCTGAGTGTGTGCCGGGCCCTGTGCTAAGCACCTTTAAATATTTTAAAAATGTGTCATGAAGTGTATTAGCTCCAGAAGAGTTAACAAAATGTAATTGTCCTATAGAGAGTAATGATGAAATGATGAACCTCTGTGCACCCACCAGAGCTAGACCATTCACAGAAACTTAGAAGCCCTATCTGTTGTTCCTGACTTGAGTCAATCATTTCCTTGGTTTCCTTCCTTCCTTTTTCTTTATCTTTTTCTCTTAATTTTTCTCCTTCTTCTGCTTCTCCTTTTTTTCATTTTCTGATTCAGGTATCACATACAGTAATATTCACCCTTTTTAGTGTATAGTTCTGGGAGTTTTGGCAGATGCATATAGTCAAATAACCACCAGCACTATGAAGATAAAGAAGGTTTTTACCCCTCTAAAATTCCCCCTGCTTCTTTGTAGTCAATGCCCCCCAGCCGCCCCAACCCCAGGTAACTACTGTCCCTAAAGTTTTGCCTTTTTCAGAATATCGTATGAGTGGAATTTTAACAGTATATACTTCCCTTCCCTTGATTTTCTTTAGAGTTCTGTCTCCTATGTGTGAACCCATAAACAATAGATTGATTAGTCTGGGTAAACTGAGTAGGTGTTCTGACCGTGGTTGTATGAGACGAGGGTAGCACCAAGTCTGTTGGCTGAACACTTGCTGGGTACCGGGCACTAAATGATATCTGGAGCGTGGTTAGGCCTCGGCTTCCTTGAGAGTTTCCAAGGTCCGTTCCAACGGATAAGGTCATGAGTGAGTCTGGGAAACAGCTGGAACACCTGACAGGGACTAGATATCTGCAGGCACGTGATCTGAGGGAACAGGCTGCCTGGATTTTCTGCTTCTGAGATCCCATGACCTACCTCCAGCTCCCAGGAGCAAGTCAAAGTAGGACTTGTCTTGAGTGAGGGGTGTGGAGGGAAAAGCAAGAATTTCACCAGCACCAGGTTAAGCCAAGAGCAGTTAAGCTTCACCTGGAATCTCATTCTCGGGGTAGAGGATGGTGCCATGGCAGGGAGGATGGGGCAATGATGGTCCCCACGTGTCTGCCTCTTGGTTCCTTGCATCAGATCTGGGCTGACTGCTCCTCTTGTGTTTGGGAGTGGTTGTTCTGAGATCTACCTTTTCTACTTTCCATGTTGGATCTTCTGTTTCCTTCTGTCTTCCATGCCTTCCTCATTCTTAGTTTACTCTCTCGTCCCGGAAGCACATCCTCCATCCTTAAAAGGAGGAAAAAGGACTCTGTGGCACCTTGTACATCTGATAGTATCTTCACTCATCTTTAAACGTTTAACTGACACGCCATTCCAGGGGTTAGCTTTTTCTTCCAAATTTTGTGTGTGCGGCTCTTTTTTTCCTGCTCTCGTTGTTGCTGTTGAGTCATCTGAAACCATTTTGATTCCTGACCCTTTGTACATGGGACCTGATTTTTCTTGGAAGCCTGTTGAGCCTTCTCTTTCCTCAGGAGTTGAGAGATTTCACAGTAATCTCTTTGGGTTTTGGGTCTGTTTTTATCCTTTGGTTGGGCACTGGGTGGGCCCTTTCAGTTGTAAGTCACATCTTTCAGTTTCCTGCATGTGTGATCATTGGCCACAAGGGCTGGCAGGAATGGGGTCGGTCGAGTGGCAAGGGAAGCAGTGAGGAGTCCCAGTCCTGGTGGCCAGAGGAGCCGGCCGAGCTCCCTCAAGCCCAGCCCCCTTCTCCCCACAGCCTGGCTCCCAGGAGGACTGAGGAGGAGGAGGAAGAGGAGCTGGAGGAGACCGCACAGGAGAAGAAGCTGCGCTTGGCCAAGCTCTACCTTGAGCAGCTCAGGCAGCAAGGTGAGCCCGTGGGTTGGGCAAGTGGTGGGTGGGGCCTGTGCCTCTGTCTGCCTGCTGCAGTCCCAGCAACCTGATGGGTGGCTGGTGCAGGTACCTGGTGGCTGCTGGTGCTGGCTGTCCTGTGGGAGGGTGGCTGGGAGCTCTAATGGCCTCCTGGGGCAGGCCAGGCCTCCAGGGGGTTTTAGATTGATCTGATAAGTAAAGGCAGGGGGTGAGCAGGAGACCATCTAGTCCTCCCTCCCCTTTGCCAGTAGTAGCCCAAACTTCCATGAGACACAGCCCAAGTGTTCAGAACCCAGGACTGAGGTGGTGGGTGGAGATGGGAAGGGACAAGTGGGGTCTTGGCCTGGGTTTACTTGGCCTAGTCTGTCCTCCACAGAGGAGGAGAAGGCTGAAGCCCGTGAATTTGAGGAGGACCAGGTGGCGGGGAGGCTGAAGGAGGATGTGGTGAGTGTGGAGGGAGGAAGGTAGGAGGGAAGGGGCTGGGCTGGTCCTGCTCCTGGATCTCACCCCTCTCCTCTCCATGCAGCTTGAGCAGAGGGGCAGGCTGCAGAAGTCGGTGGCAAAAGAGGTGAGTGGGCAGGGCACTTTAGCATCAGATCGGAGGGAATCACCTGGGTTGGTGGGCAGATGGCCTAAGTGGGGACTCAGGCTGTGGAGTCTTTGCCCTGTAACACACTAGGGCAGACAGAGTCAGAAGGATCTGGTCCTGGCAGCCCTGGGTCTGGTCTTCCATCTGGGCAGGGTGGTAGGAAAGGACGGTGTGTGTGTGTGTGCGTGTGTGTGTGTGTAGGGGTGCCTTCCTGACCCCAGTCGCAGTGACCTGGCCCCTACCTGCCTAGGTTCAGACCCCAGCCCCAGCCGACATTCGAATCTTACGGGGCCACCAGCTGTCCATCACATGTTTGGTTATCACCCCAGATGACCTGGCCATCTTTTCTGCCGCCAAAGACTGCACCATTATTAAGTGTGAGTGAGTGTCTGGGTGGGGTGCCACACCCAGGGGTCATCTGGGAGGGCTGTTCTAGGGAGGAGGGAATAATCAGGGCAAACTGAGGCCTGATGGGGAAAGCTTCTGGTCACAGGTTGGATCCCTAAGAGGTGTTTTCTGGGTGACAGTGGAGGCTTCTGCCCGGAAGTGGGGTTTGTGAGCTCCCTGTCACTGTCATTGGAGATGGTGGAGCAGAGGCAGTGCCATTTAACGAGCATTGGTGCTGCAGGTGGGAAGTTGGACTGGAGGACACATGAGGCTCTGCACAGCCCTGGGACTGAGTTCCTGGTCCTCCTGGGTCCCCAGCCTTCTTCCACTGAGCACTGTCTTCATCCACCCACAGTGGTAACAGAAGACCTCACACCATCAGTCCCAAAGCACTTTCCTGTCCTTTATCTTCTGGGCTTCATGGCTGCCCTTTGGGATTATTGTCACCACATGACAGATGAGGAAACCGAGATGGCTTGTCTAGGGACCCACAGTGGCTGAGCCAGATCTCCTGATCTGAGGCCAGGACTTTTTTCATGACCCCACACTGCCCTTGAT